CGGTGGTTGGGGACCCCTGCTCTACAAGGTTCCATTCAAGTGAAGTGCAGATCAGAGTAAATTTGAATAACTTTACCAGTCAAAGTGTCAGGCAAAATGGTCACAGTGGTAAAGACAATAGAGTAACCCTTGAGGAACCATCTCATACTGATGAGACTGGCCTGCCCCATTGATTCTGGCAGAGGGGTATACTGTAGATTCTCAGCCAAGGAGTTTTGACTGGTGGGATCCAAGAGAAGAGACTTCTCTGCTATGGTTCCCGCTTCATACTGGACGTGGTTGATTGATTAAAATCTAATCCCACCTCCCCACCTCCTGTGTGTCCAGATCCCTTCTTTGCCACTTTGCCTCCTTGTTTATCTGTTAATGTCTTTACTTACTGTGTTTTTAATGATTTTAACGTTTTTCAGTGTTTTTTTTATGTTGTAAGCTACCCAGAGTCAAATATGAGATGGGCAGCAAATAAAATTTATATACAAATAAACAAATAAATCCCTACTCAAAAGGGAATTGGCCACAATAAGGTGGAAGAAATACTGAAAGAGTCTTTGCTACCCTTATCATTATAGAGTAGGCCTGAATTTGAACATGCACATATGCTGTGTCAAATTCAGTCATTTTCAACCTGCATTGCAGGCATTGCTTCTATAGCTTCATTTTCTGAAGGTCTTCAGAAAATCAAGGAACCATCTAGAATCAGCTGGAAAAGAAACATTACTTGGGAGTAGTTTTACCAAGGACCTGAATTATGCTTCATACAAGCAATGACAAGACCCTCAACTGAATCATCTACAAGATTGTCAGAGAAATCTCAAAACGCTTGCTGAAAACTAGATGGATCCATAAAGTGTTTGGAGCAAATCATCTAAATGGATCACGTGGGGAAGAAGTGAATGACTGCAACATATGGGAGATGGTGGTTACGACCCACATGCAGATATCACAACTGCATGTGTCAAAGGCAAAACGACTTGGGAGAAGCCCATGGTTATCATGAATTCTTGACCTCTCTAAGACATGGCTTCAGCTACCTGAAAAATGAAATTCTATAATAAAAATAAATAGGTAATGCTTAATATTTCATTGCTGCTACAGCTGCTAATACATGTAGTCCTTCACTTGCAACAGTTCATTTAGTGATTGTTTGAAGTTATAACATCATCAGAAAAATGACTTTTTTTTTTTTAGACTTAGTTTTTCTCATTAAGATAGTTGCAGCATCCCATAGTCATGTGATCAAAATTCAGATGCTTCACAACCGACTCATGATGGTTGCAGTGTCCTGGGGTCATATGATCCACCTTTTGCGACCTTCTGACAATCAGAATCAACGGGGAAGACAGATGCACTGAGCAACCACGTGGCTAACTTAACAACTGCAGGGATTCATTTAACTGTGGCAAGAAAGGTCGTAAAATGTGGCAAAACTCACTTAATAGCTGTCTCGCTTAGTGACAGCAATTTTGGGCTTGTGGTCATACGTCGAGGAATACCTGTACTCTAAATTCATAGCAGCACTTGAAAATCCCATTTATTCTTTCTTGAGATAATGTACATAAATTAAAATTGGACGTTATGTTTCATATTTTCCTATGTGAAAATGGCAAGAAATCATACTATCAGTTTTGGGGAAATATAATTAAAAGAGTTGTGGGAGGGAGATAAAAAATATAGCCTTAGAATCTTTGGCTATCCATTACATATTTATAACTCATACGATACGTGAAGGTGGATAAACTGGCTTATGGAATTAGCAATTACTTAGAGTCTCTAGTGTTAGAGGCTGTAAATGGTCATACGACACGGTACAGGATCTAACTGGTTACAAGGATTATATATGAAATGAAATTATAATATGTGAAGAAGACTAACATTACAGGAAGTAGACTATTACCATATCAAAAAACAAACACCATTCACCAATAAAACAAAACAAATAATGATGTTGTAATAATCACGAGAGTAACTGAAATAAGGCCATTTACATTTGGCATGGGTTTTTCGTATTACTTGGGCATTAAAAAGTTATGGCCCCAGAGATCCAGAGACGCATCATTCTAGCTAGTGAATTTTAAGATATCCTGGGATTTACAATCTCAGCCAGTGTTGGCAACTCTTTTTGGCACTAAGTGCCGAAACGGGAGCACACATGCGCGGAGGAGCACCGGAAATCAGAAGAGCAGCTCCCTGGCGCATGCATGTGGGCCAACCACCTGGTCTTCCGGTTTCTGCAGTCCATGTGTGCGTGAAGACTAGCTGGCCAGTGCACATTTGCCCTGGAACACAAAAGAGCAACGGGTGATGGCTGGAGTGCCCGGAGAGATGGTTCTGTGAGCCACTTCCTGCACGCATGCTATTCGTTCACCATCATGGGTTTAAATGCATCTGGAAAATTCCCACTCGGGATATGAGATGGAAGAAGTTTATGAAATAATAAAGCAAGAAATACTAAGTGTGGCCTTGGTTTTTATTCACGTGCTTGGTTCTAAATTAAATTTATAGACTGCCTAACTCCTAGAAACTGTGGGTGGCATGCATGATCATGAATACTGTTTATGAACAAAGGTAATTGTAAATTACATTAGTATGTTGCAAACAAGGTTGGTATTTTTCTTAAATCTGGTCTACCAAGCATTGAGGCCTGTCAAATTGCTTTCTGCATTTTTTTTTCCATCCATAGGTTTATTATATGTTAATTAGCAAATATAGAATGATCTGAAAATGTTACTTATGTGATGAAATTGATATTAGAGTAGATGTTTGTGGTCGTAGTAGATATTACATTTTTCATTCACATTTTTTGAAAATGTGCTTAAACCCATCACTCTTATCCTTAAAGAAACATGGCACTCAAGTCACAATTTAGAGTGACGTGGTGTGGTTCTGGTGTGAATTTCTACAATGTCCATATTACCCACTTCAAATTGGATTCCAGCATTTTTGTGGCAAAGGACAGCTGGAATAAGATGGAGGAGCTATTATGTACCCATTATGAATATACAGTTTGGTTTTATACAAATAGAAATGTA